TTTTTAGCCACTTCAAGCTGATTAAAAAGTTTGAAATTTTTGTCGAGACACTGTTGAGTTTTCCTTAATTTTGTATTTTTTTTTAAGTATTGATTTACATGGGTTATGATGTAGAATGAGCTCTGTATGCACATATTTAGAAAAAAATAACGAAAAAGTTACCAGGAAACAAATTTTTTTAATATCGCAAAAAACATTAAAAAAAAATATTTCTGTGAGTTGCTGTATGTAATTTTCGTTGAAAGCTGCTCGCCTTTGTCAGCACAAAAGTTTAAAATATTCGCTATTGGCTAGGGCGGGACAGGGACAGAGATAGTGCTCGTTGCTCTCCACCCTTTCCTGGTTTCTGCAGCTGCGACAAAAATCGTTGATTGGATATCCCAACGGTTTTCCATGCATGCTCATCAGGTAGTGTCCGGTGATTACATCGACTACTAATCTATGAGAAGAGCGGACAAGACGAGTTAGAGCCAGGCATTGCTTTTGTTAAATTTTTGGCGAAATCTGTCTGGTACTATTGCAGGTGGTTTATGTATTTACCTCCACGGTGAGTTCAGCCTTAAATCTGTGTTTGCTGCTGGTTAGAGATATGCCGGCGTCTTGAGCAGGATTGACTTCGGATATTTCCGTCCCTCTCCCTATCAGCTCATCGTCGGACATGCAGTTGCCAGGAATCTCTAAATGCTCAGGGACCCATGCAACAGTCAAGGAGCATTTTTATGGCAGCGGGTTGAGAATCCTTCAGCATTTTGTGGCTACTTTGTCCCGTTAAACCGTTATATTTTGAAGATTAAATAGCGTATTCGCTATTAGTGTATATATATAGTGATAGGACGTTCTGGGAAGGCGGAAGTTATGAGCCACTGAGCGGTGTCCATTATGGTGTTTAGCTCTGCTTGAACAACACTACAATAGATCGGTAAGCGTAGACTGAGGTTTAGTGCGAGTTCACCAGCGTATATCCCACTATCCACTTTTTCGTTTAGCTTCGAGCGATCCCTGTGTATATCTGCCCTGGGTTCAAGTATGTGGCGGCCCCTCCCCATTCGTTCCTCCCTAGGATTTTTATGAAGTTTGTTGTCCAAACAGAGGAGAAGAGTGGTATAATTTAGCTGTAACAGATTATTCAACAGACTTTCAAGAACCTTTGCGTGCCTGCATTTGAGGTATTTCCACGGCTGGATCGCATTTGGCCTGGCAGCACTACAGCTGGATATAAATTTTCCGTACAGATCTACCGGTACTACCAGAGATTTAGACGGTGTAGTGGGTAGTGCTCCCGTGATAAGCAAGGGGTTTGAAATATCAGAACCATAACTTTTTATTATTTATTTACAATTTCATTTTGATTGGAAGGTGACTAATACAAACACAAGATAAGAGGCATAGCCACATACATGCGTACACGCATTTTTATAAAAATATGTATGTAGATAAGTTTAAAATCCCCCCTAAAAGTTTTTTTTTTTTCTCTAAAATACTGACTACGCTGTTGTCAACCTACCGACAGCTTTATATACATGCATAAGTATGTACATATCGTCATCATATCATATACATTGTATTTACTTATGCCCTGAAATTAATTTTCTATTTGTTCATGCAGTGGTGTAGCCACGGGGGGTCGGTGTAAATATATGTTATGGGTTTTAATTACATTTTATGAAATGATTTAGCGAAATGAAGAAACGCATAAACATATTTACTATACCGGAAAATTTTATACAGAAAAAGGTAGTGGGAAAAAAGTTCAATAAACATTAAAAAAATAAATAAACTGAAAAGTAAAAAAATGTTTATCCCACATTCACACCCATAGAATTTATCTTGATAAGTGTTGATTATAAAATTTTAACAAAAGCCATTATAAACAATTTATAAGATTTAAAATGAAAAACGTGAGTATGGTTGCTCAAGAAAAAAATCAAGTGTGCACAAAGTCTAAAAGTATTTTATAGTTGCCAATTCGTGCCCATAAATCCAAAAATAGAGTTCCGATTTTGGGGTTTTATTTTTTCGGGTTTGTATAGTAATTACTTGTTATCTTGTGTTTTTTTTTACAAAATAGTATAACTGTTTTATTACAGAGAACTCTGTAAATAGAACTTGCACCAAATTCACAAAATGAAACTTCCTAAAAGTAAAATTATATCACAAAATACTTTACTTCACACTTCATACAAAATACTCGAACCTCTATTTTCATGAAAAACATGTGTGGATTCAAACAGGCTGGATGCTCGTAGTTCATACATGTAGCTCGAACTTCGATTTGTCACTCCCCGGTGACAAACGTTATTTGACAAGTTGATCCCAATCGCCCCTCCCCCCCCCCCCCCCCCCCCNCCCCCCCCCCCCCCCTCCTCAAATAAAATCTTGCATCCGCCACTGTAGGTACATGCGAGTGTTTTTCATAAATGACAATATTCTATAGCACAGTGTTATAAGTCGGCGACGTGTACATATACACTAATGCAGTAAGTTTTTTTCATTTATTTGTTTGTTTACAAACAATTGAGCCGTAACTGTAGAGAGATAGAAATATCTTTTTTGTTGCTAGCTAACAAATATACATACGAAATCAAACGACCTATATTTGTATGTAAATATGTATACAGTTATAACTAAACAAAATTTCAGCAGCGGCTATAAAACTGCTGGGTTATGGAAATCAGTGTGACCACTTGCTGTGTATTTCCCCAAAACGTGAGGAATTTCGGGTGCGCTTGAGTATTTTTTGAGGATTTTTATTCTGAGGGATTTTCTCTCGATATATTAGCAGATAACAAATGCAACCATGTTTTACACAACAGAGATGTTAAATCGCTCTGCAAATTTTTGAATAAAAAGCTTTCCGAAGTTTTATAAAGAGCGAAATACACCACACAAGCGGCTTGTCAAACATTCTTCAAACCTGCTTTTTCCATTTCGCCATACACCAGGCAAACATGACACGTTCAAGCAAAGAATTTTAGTTTTCTTCCGTTTCACAATGTAAAGGGGTTTGAAACTAGCAAAACTATTAGTGAATTTTATAAAACGCTACTGTTGCGTTATTTTTCATCCAAATACAATTTGAAATATTTTTAGATCGCTAGTTCAAAATATTTTTAGGGTAACATATAAATTATATTCAACAATTATATTGAGCTTGAGGCCGTTTTTAATGAAAACTTGGTCAACTCCCACTGAAGATCTCTGATGAGAAGGTGCGCTGATCTCCGAAATAGCAGGTATAACTTCCATCATTTATAAATTATTGTTGTTTTTCCACAATATTTTTCATTAAAAACGGCCTCAAGCTCAATAAAATTGTTGAATATAACTGTTATAAGGCCATAAATAACAATAAAATATAAACATTTCATGAGCATCTAAATTTATACCCAGTTTGTTGCCAGCACTTCTTTCGGCGAGAAGAAGAACTTTGGAAAGCGCCTCAAACCCTATCTCGGAATTGTTTTTGTGCTACTTTAATATACGGACATAGCAACAAATTTCATAAATTCGTAGTAATCTATATATACATGTAATAAAGCAGGCCGATTGGTTTATATTATAGAGGGAGTCTTAATTAGAGAAACAGAAGCCAAATCAAAAATTTTACAAAATATACATAGAAGAAAAAGAAATTATAGAGTTGCCATCTGTTTGAACATTGCAGTTTAGGTAAATTGATAAGATAAACTAAATATTGCAATATGGCTGTCAAAAAAATTGGATTCAAGAAGGCTTACAGCCGAACAAATTTTTGTGGAAGGTTACCACCAGTTTGAAAATTTTAATTTACTTAAATTAATAAACTAAATTAAATATTGCAATATAGGTATCAAACTTCAGAGGTTTTGGGAAGTTTACTGCCGAAAATATTTTTGAGGGGGGTTGCCACCCGTTTGAAAAATATTATTAATTTAAATTGATAAAATAAATGAAATGTTACAATATTGATGTTTAACTATGGAGGTTTAAGAATGTTTACTGTCGAACGTAGTTTTGAAGTGGGTTGCCACCTATTTGTAGACTCGAGTTAAAAGATTATAAATTAAAACAAATTAAATTTCCAGGAGAAAGCCGATACTCTACCTACATTCTAAATACCTTCGAAAATATATTCACTAACACCCACATTTACAAAAAAATAATAATAATAATGCTTCATAAATCGAACTTTTGGTGCACAGTGGTCCTAGGCCTCATCTGAAAAGACAGTTTGTAGCGAAATAGTTTTTTGATGTTTGATCTAATAAAATATGTATTGTTAACGCTTTATTGTCATCCCATTCGAATAATTAAATGTACATTTCCAACAAAAAAAAAAATCAGTATCATTTTCATTTCATTTCTAAAAATTAGCTTCTCAAAATCTAGAAAATTTTAGTTTTACGTGGGAAAAGCCGCAATGTCATTTAAACTTGGGGAGGTTTAAAACTAATGTAGCCATATTTGATATCGAAGCACAAAACTTCCCACTGATTTATAGGTAGTTTTGATCACTTCATGAAAAATTCTATGAATATTCTGAATATTAAGGCACGCACGTCTTTCTGTTATACGATTTTAAAAATTGTTCACAGGTCACGTTTTTATGTCCAAGGGAAGATTTCTACGGGTAGTCGTGCTTTAAAGCTTAACAAAAAATTGTTTTCATACAATTAAGGCACAGTCGAATATACATTTTTCTTGTTTCTTAAAATGCAAAAAACTTTTGCATTTTATTGGTTTTAATTACATTCGCGGGGAGCAATGTGTTTACACTTGTATATAAATTAAACTTTGATTAAATATATCATAAAACCATTAAACTAATATATGTATGTACATACATAAATTTTAACAACATCAATACAGCATCTTATCTAACAATATTTTCATAAAACCCCATTATCTGTAGTACTGATTAGATCTGCTCAAATTATCGTAGCGCACTTGAAAATACGAATATTTTGCCCTGCCTTTCGCCTATAAATATTGATTGCTAACTCAACTCATTTCAGTTGCGTATAATTTACAAACCCTACAATATCTGAGTAGTGACAAATATTTTTCACAAGGTACGAGTATAAACAAAAGTAGCACTAAATTAAATAAAAAGGTATCTATGTAGTCATAAAGCAAATAGCCCAAAATAAGTACCATTGAACTAAACCACACTGCATGGTTTGTTTAGGCGAGAAAGGGAAGAGAGTAAAAGAAATGTTCATACAGTCGGCATTCTGCCAGACAAGATAGCAATTCACTTGTGTATTAATTTCTGTGCGTGTATACCCAGCAAACCATTTTGCTTGATATAACTTTGCGACGCTTTTGACATTTAATAACTTTCTCATATCAAATGGAAAGGAATATTGAAACCCGAGAATTAAAGGTTTATCAAAAGTTGGAGAATATTTTTTCTTGTTTTTGCTGGGTTAGGGCAACGAATGTCAAATGCTGTTTGCACTAACACAATTAAGAGAATTCCCAAAATCTAAAAAAGTGTTAACTAATTGCGTTTGGCTCATTTACTTCAATAGTGTCGTAACTCAAAAAAGTAAAACTCGAGATGAACGGCTTTAACGTTTTGAATTTATGGCAGTATGCCATAGTAAAAATGAGAACATATTTTCGCATTCGGAAGATACTGGTAATCGATATAATTTTTACACATCATAGAAGAAGAAGTATCGGAAATTTCTGGATACTTAACCAAATTTTAGTATTTTTTTAATTTGGACACTATCTATTGAAGTTTGCAAATGAGCAATATGTATGAGTAAAAAACATACCGTGAAAATATATTCATTCCTACATACATACATATATATGTATAGCATGGATGTATATAAGGGCTGTCCAAAATAAGTAAAGTCAGAATTTAAAAACTCTCACCCAATAGGATTGTTCTGTATCGAAAAAATAATAGCCCTTTTTTTAAATCAAAAAAATATTTGGACGTCGCTCAAAGCGCTCAAAACTATCCATATAGTTTATATGGGAAAAGAATAATAGAATTCTTGAAAGTCAATGTTTTGCGATCGAAAAACTTTATTTCTCTTTAGCAGACTTCCAACAACAATAAACATTTTTTTTTATTTAACCATTTTTAAACAATAAATACTTTTATAGGCTCCCTGAAAACCCCATAAAACTCGCTAGTTTAAAAAAATGGCAAAGTAATCAATTGAAGAAATAGGGTTCTCCGATCGAACAATATTGATTTTCAAGAATTCTATACCATTACCTCGAAAAATTATATTTTTCCATATAAAATATATATACATATATATGTATGTAAACGCCCACAACGCTAGGATTTGCCCGTATGTCGATTTGCCACAGAAAAACATGGTTATTTATAAACCTAGTCCGCCATATAACTCAAAAACATATAATTTTGAGTTATGCCGTTATTGCAGATAGCCATCGATATGTAGTACATATTACGTACATACAGTTTTGTTATTGTTATTGGATTGATTTCAGGTGTACCGATAAGAATAAACAACAAAAGTATGAAAGTCATTAGAACTTGGAAAGAAAGCGATTGCTGAGATAAAAAGTGTAACACCACGTTGCAGTTTTGTATGCCACTGAATATATTTATTCTAATTTTCAAATAAAACTGCCTCACACTGAGCTTTTTAGGCAATGCTAATGAAAAAATACTCATACAAATCAGCTGTATAGAGCTTTTAAATGTATTGCCAGATCTATGCTCGCTTACATACATACATACGTTCACTTTACTACCGCCAACAATTTGCATTATTTACAAACAAATTGATCAGTATTTTGGGCGTACCCAGAATATACTTCCAGGGGGGGTTTTAAATAAATAATAAAAATATTGTTTGTCGCTCACATTTTTCCTAGGTGTTTGGCCGAGCTGCTCCTCCAATTTATTGTGCGTGTCTTGGATATTATAACACAAATGAAAGGACATACAATTTCACGTCCCCTTCGAACTGCAAATCGTACCCAGTACAGTATATTTTGCTTTGCTGCCTCTATGCTTAAGTGCACATTAAAGATACCTACCCCTAAATGCGCATCAAAAGCATTATTTTTAACATTTATAAGGAAACTGCNCCTGCCACTGAATATATTTATTCTAATTTTTAAATAAAACAGCCTCACATTGAGCTTTTTAGGCAATGCCAATGAAAAAATACTCATACAAATCAGCTGTATAGAGCTTTTAAATTTATTGCCAGATCTATGCTCACTTACATATGTACTTACGTTCACTTTACTACCGCCAACAATTTGCATTATTTACAAACAAATTGATCAGTATTTTGGGCGTACCCAGAATATACTTCCAGGGGGGGTTTTAAATAAATAATAAAAAAAATGTTTGTCGCTCACATTTTTTCTAAGTGTTTGGCCGAGCTGCTCCTCCAATTTATTGTGCGCGTCTTGGATATTATAACACATATGAAAGGACATACAATTTCACGTCCCCTTCGAACTGCAAATCGTACCCAGTAGTCGGTACCCGATACTTCAAAAAAAGATTTCGGTACCCAATACTACCAANATACAATTACTTAATTTTACAACCTTTTATTTATTTTGCTCATCTCACAGAACAACGAAAATGGCTATCAATTTATGTAGTTATATAGATAATTAGATAACATTCGGTAAAAATTTCGCTTGCAGTAATTTCTACATGGTAAGTGCTCCGCCAATATTTGGTTTCATAGGGATTCGGATACCTTCCTCATTGAAGTAGTAAAGAAAATTCGCTTAAGTGCCTTTTTCGGTTACGTGCACAAGTTTTTCGTGCAAAGNATTGTTTAGATTAAACCTTCGCCGCTTTATATATTTCACAACAGTAAAATATTATTTATTTGATCAGTTTTAAACCAAGTGGAGGCGCGTCATCATAGCCATACCCAATATCAATAAGTGGCAATCTACTTTTGGCACTTTATCAAATCATATTAAAAGATAAACTTAAGTGCTGTATAAAAATCAGTTATCTTAATTATAGTGTAGTGGCTGATAAGCTTGTTAACAAAATAATTTAAATACTTCGCATACGCTAATTAATATAAAACACCTGGGACGTTCATAAGGTGACTTGCAAGCCTATTCTGCTTGACAACGAACATTTTGACACCGGAAAATTTTGTTACCAAAAAATAACACCACTTCTTGCAACCGCTATTATAAGTACCTTGATAAGCCATTCAGCTATGAAGTTTTGTATAAATTCTGGTGTTGCATACTTCACAGGGTTTAAAAATTACCAGGAACGTTATTTACCAGTAAAAAAAATTTGTTACCAACGGAGAATAGACCTGTAGATGCATACAATCAAAAAAATAATAAAAATACATTAAAAAAATAAAAATGGAAACACCACGGCATAAGTGAACCGTTTATTTTGAAAGTAGTATAAGTCACTTCGTACTTAACGTACTTAAATAATCGGCTACTTGTAACCGAATGCATCTGTAAATCGCTATATCGTCATAAACTAACGACAAACCCTTCTACCTTTGGTTGATGAAGTTGAACGAATAGCGGACGCGATCAGATACAAATAACCGGTCATTTAAGCACAAGACCTGTGAAGTGACTTATACCACTTTCAAAATAAACGGTTCAAGTGTTTATTTGTGATAAGAAGTACTATCAACAATGTTAGCGGTCCTTTTTGCTAATTAAATATTTGCTATTTTTTGCCAGGTAACTACTTAATTGAAATTTTGTAATGTTTGCATTCACTTCCAGCTAAAGTTTTTTAAGTGAAGTCATTCTAACAAATCTTTTACATATATATTATTAAAAATCGGTAGGGCTTGGTTAAAACAATTTGCCGTTGAATATTCTTTGAAATATAACACGCAATTTGAAAACAAAAAAACAACTTCAACACTGACTGAAGGATAAAGTAAAATGCACTACAAAAGCTACATACTATGTATATCTGAGTACCGATTATATCCTCATATAAAAAATTTGTAGTACCGGTAGTTTCTTCATGATTGGAACTAAACCGAATTAGGAGGATTAGATTTTGAATTTTGAATTGTGTCGTTATTGCACAGGACCATCGATATGTATGTGAAAATTACGGATTGAAAAAAAATTTAACACAAGCTCGTTCACGCCAGCAAGATCGCTCATGTTCACGCTTGCAAAAGCATGACACGATGCCTCACATAGGCAATTATGTGTTTTACCCAACACTAGTTCATACCATAGCTTAAAAAAATTCATACTGTATGTAGTAGGGCATGAAGTTTTGGGTATTAAGTATGTATGGCGTGCAATGCGCAATAAAAAATTACCGTAGACAGGAACTTTTCGAATACTAACTAAGGACTCACTTCCGGTCTGGATTGAATGCTAAAGAATTTTACAAAGTTCAAAACAATAAGTGAATATGATTGCAAAGCTGAAAATTNACAATTATGTGTTTAACCCAACACTAGTTCATACCATAGCTTAAAAAATTTCATACTGTATGTAGTAGGGCATGAAGTTTTGGCTATTAAGTATGTATGGCATGCAATGCGCAATAAAAAATGACCGTAGACAGGAACTTTTCGAATACTAACTAAGGACTCACTTCCGGTCTGGATTGAATGCTAAAGAGTTTTACAAAGTTCAAAACAATAAGTGAATATGATTGCAAAGCTGAAAATTAGGTGTATGTGTTGTGAGGCCCTATTTAGGGCCTACATTCTAAGATTTTTTCCAATGCTACAACCATAATTTTTTCCAAGGTTTGATAACAATTGGAGAATTAAGTGAAATATATCAAATTAAGAACTATAAATTTGCCAATGGTCGGACAATATTATTTCCATTTTTGTTGAATAATTAGTATTATCGCTGAGTGCTAAAAAGAGTTCTCATTCCACATACAACCGAAAATTTAATCCCTTCCCTACGCGCTGCTACATCTCTGTGTCGCTTCTCAATTGGGTTTCTGAATTTAAGAATTTAGGCATCTATTTTGATATGAAATTGAGTTTCTCTACCCACATTAAAATCTTATTTAAAAATCGTATGCAATGCTAGCCTTTATTCGCCGCAATAGTACTTCCTTTTCAGATCCTTACACTCNGGTCGCTTCTCAATTGGGTTTCTGAATTTAAGAATTTAGGCATCTATTTTTATATGAAATTGAGTTTCTCTACCCACATTAAAATCTTATTTAAAAATCGTATGCAAAGCTAGCCTTTATTCGCCGCAATAGTACTTCCTTTTCAGATCCTTACACTCGGTAGGTAATTCGAGAAAATTTTCATAAATCTGCCTTATTTCATTTCATGTCATTTATTAAGAGAAATACATTGGTACAATAAGATCATAGATCTTTTACAGTACAAAAGAAAGATTAAAAATACAAGTAAAAACAAAATATGGATTACTTAAAACAAAAATAAAAAATAAATTATGTATCACATTATATAAAGATCAATAGACAAGACAAAATGAAAGTTAAACTTTTAGATAGCGAAACCCAGATTCAAAAATTAAAAAAAAAAATAAATAAAATATATCAAAATCCTTAAATTTTACTGAACCGACTTCTTCATTTGAATCGCGCTATCTGCTTTTGAATATGAAACCCTTGAGTAGCAGACTCTCCCTCCTCGCTTCCACTTTTGTGTCTAATATTGTAACGTTGGGGTTGCAAAATCTTACTACGCCAAGTACGCCCCGTTGATGAGAACGTTTACGGACTTACATAAATAGCAATCCGAATCTTGATTTGTAGAGTAACTAACTTATCAACTAATCTTATCTGTATTCCAGATGCCTTACAAACTCGAACCAATTCCAAATGGAGAGACATTGATTGGCGAAGGCCCACATTGGGACATTGAAACACAGAGCCTTTATTTTGTAGACATCGATGTTGCTAAATTGTTACGCTATGATTACAAGCAAAACAAGACGTACAGCGCAGTACTGGAGGGTGAAAAGTTTGCCTCCTTCATCATACCCGTCGAAGGAGAAAGTGGTAAATTTGTTGTGGGTTGTGATCGTCGTATAGCAATTGTCGCTTGGGATGGTGTATCACCCATTGCCAAAGTGGAACGTGTCGTCAATGAGGTGCAACCGGGCAAGGAGTTTGTTTTGAATCGACTGAATGATGGTAAAGCCGATCCACGTGGACGTCTTGTAGCTGGCACCATGTACAATGATCAAAAGGATCTCTTCTCACAAAGTAAGGGCGAACTATATAGCTTTGAAAAAGGCAAGCCGGTAAAGGTTATCAAGTCGGATGTTGGCATCTCAAATGGTTTGACATGGAATGAGAAAACAAATAAATTTTATTTCATTGATTCAGCCGATTTTGATGTCAAGGAGTATGACTACAATCTTGATACGGGCGTAGCGAGTAAGTGTTGCTTATTGGTAAACGTTCTATACATTTAAATAAAAATTGCATCTTTCACTTTGATACCTAGGTAATCCCAGAGTAGTCTTCAAGCATGACACTTATTTACCTGATGGTATGACTATTGACAGTGATGGCAATATTTATATTGCCACATTCACCGGCCACACAGTCTACAAAGTCAATCCGAGGTGAATGAATTATTTATTGGCTCGCGAAGAAAATACAACTACACAAATTTAGTTTATTTGTACCTAATGTAAAAAAATTCTCGTTTTCAGCACTACTGAAATTCTTTTGGAAATCAAGTTTCCCTGCAAACAAATCACTTCTGCGGCGTTCGGTGGTCCCAATTTGGATATTTTATATGTAACTACCTCCCGTTTGAACGATCAGCCATCACCAGCCGGTAGTACCTACAAAGTAACCGGATTGGGCGTAAGAGGTCTGCCAATGTCGAAGGCGCGAATATAAATATGTGCATACATACATACATACATACATATGTCGCAGCGTTAAAGCACGAGAACCTAGAACGGGACTATTTATGTGAACCTTAACTGAAAATTTCTTCCATTAGAAATTCAAATTTGTACATATATTTTTTAAGTTGAGGCTAATTAATTAAATAAATAAGCAAATAAGTGAATTAATATAATTTTTCGCTGGTTTCCAAAATCAAGCTCTGTCAGCTTTACTAATTGTTTCGGCAAATGTTACAAAAGGTACGCATTCATTTCTTTTTTTTTTGTATTCTATCGGAACATACAGTGGGGAGCAGTGATGAGTTCAAGTTTAGATTTAAAAAAAAAAAAAAAAATATGGTGCATGCTTTAACCAAAACCATATAAATCAAACTTTCAAACTTTATTCAGAGCTTAGAAAAATTTCAAAAATTTTCATTAAAATGTTTAGCTTCATCAGAAATTTTTAATTTTTTTTTTTAATTTTGTACTATGCAGTTTTGTAGCAAAATAAATTTTAGTGTTGTACATGCATCCGATCCTACTGCAGATTATCGTTAACGTTATACATAATTTTATTGTGATAAACAATTATAACGTTTTAAGTTCAAACTGCGAGTGTTTTTTTTTCATCCGTAAATAAAACGCGAGGAAAGTGTTCGCATTGCTAGTATAATAAAGTGCAAGTTTTAGGTGTCTGCGAAATCGCGTTGATTTTTAATATTTTTATTTTTTTCCCCGACGGCTTTTTGCACTTTCTTCCATACAGGCATGCATTTCTTATGTACGAAAATGTGCAAGACCGTTTTCAAAGAAAATTAAGAAAAATCAAAGCCAGTTTTTATAAATTGCACCTGTTATATGAAAAACCCCGCAAAATCAGCCCGCAAAAAAAAAAATATTAAAAATCAACGCGATTTTGCAGACGTTTAATGCTTGCACTTTATTATACTAAACTTTAATTTTCTGCAAAGCTGCGTACCCAAAAAATTCTAAAAAATCTGCATAAAAAAGCTCAAAATTTTAATGAACATTTTTCTAAAACTATGTTCACATTACAGCATTAATTACTTTCTTTCGATCAAATTACTTAACATGAACCAAGTACGTTCACATATTCTTTCATAATTTCTATAGATACATACATACATATGTGCTTTGTGTGATAATATCAAGGCGCACGCCACAAGTCGGAGGAGAAGCTCGGCCAAACACTAACATATGTGTAAGCGCCAATCTATTATTATTATTACTATTATTATATGTGATTAGCACGTGTACGTACGAGTGTGTGGTTTGTATTTGATAAAAATAATAATAATAATAAAAATCGTTGCATACCTTTAGGCATTTTTTTTATATTTCCTCAACAGTGGGGGCTGAAATTGAAGACAACATGATATTTGGCTAATTGCAGCCTTTCGACAATGCCCAGTCCATGTTGAGTGATATACTCACACAGTTTCTGGCCAAGTTATGTATATCTCTTCAGTTTTCTTTAATCAAATAGTCCGATGCCTGATTACTAGGTACTACCAAGTGATACATATGTTGCCCAGAGTAAAGGCCCAATCAGAGGTTGGAGCAAAAAACCGAAACGCAATTGATACCTACGGTTATGGTTATTTAAAGTTTGGTTAGCAGATTTTCCGCGCTTGTAGCACAGGTTCAGATATGAAAATGAGAGAATTGAACGCGGAGAGGGAGAGTTGGCCCAAAAGACAAACGACTGGTGTGCTTTATTGGATTAGTGTTAAGACGGACCAAAGTGTTACAAAAGCTTTGCACAATACGGACCGGAAAATTAAACGTTTTGCTCAAAACCCAACTTTCTATGTTAAATTAATAATAACACTGTAGGGACGCTAAAATTACACAAAAAACGCCGAAACACGTAAACTTAATTTCTGGTCGTAGATTACAGATTTGTACACCATTTTTCTAGATCAGGTATCCCAAGATATTTTCATTTTAAGTTTGCGTTGCGAATGAAAAAATCAAACTTTTACATGGAAAATGTCACTCATGCGTAATGTGACCAACTACTTCATAGCTCAAAGACGTACAGGTTAGGTTGGGTCAGGTTAAAGTGGTTGCCCCAAGCAAGGGACCCACTTGGATAGTTAAGAAATTGTTCTTTCTGATACTACGAACAAACTGAACGAAGACCCTTAATTTAGTCGGCGAAACGCCGCAAGCCGATTACCAAATTTCGAAATTGTGTCTTGATGAACACAATATATTTGAACTAAAACGTGGCTACAATTTTTAACCTTTAAAGGTATTTGTAGTACTTTCGCAGGACTTTGAATTGACTTAAAAATTTTTATATCTCCATATAAATCGATAACTCGATAAAATTTAGATACCTTTATAAGTTTCGATAAGTCGGTTTATTTCGATAACTCGTTACACTCGGGTAACACAATACAATTCAATAAGCAGTGATATGTCGATAAGCATATATAAGCTTGAAATTTCGATAGCTCGATATATTTAAAAAAATCCAGTACATACGATTCGATAAATCGACGAATTTTAATACATCAATAAATATCGTTAACTCAATAAGCTCATAGAACTCATTGCTTTACGATAACTGCATAAATTTCGTTACTTCTATAAATAATGATTATTCCATAAATATCGATAACTTGATAAATTTTATTAACTTGACAAGTTTTGATAATCCCATAAATTTTTATAGCTCGATAACTATCCATAAATTTAGACAACTAATTTTCTGTGTCTATAAATTTCGACAACTCAATAAACATTGCGCAATTTGAATGATTCGACACGTTGCGACAACTCAGTAAACATGGATAACTNTTTTGGCTAATTGCAGCCTTTCGACAATGCCCAGTCCATGTTGAGTGATATACTCACACAGTTTCTGGCCAAGTTATGAATATCTATTCAGAGTTTTCTTTAATCAAATAGTCCGATGCCCAGAGTAAAGGCCCAATCAGAGGTTGGGGCGAAAAATCGAAACGCAATTGATACGTACGGTTATGGTTATTTAAAGTTTGGTTAGCAGATTTTCCGCGCTTTTAGCACAGGCTCAGATATGAAGCTGGTGAACGTTTTAGAATGCTATTAAAAATGAAAGAATTGAACGTGGAACCCTCTGGTGGTAGTTTGAGGGAGAGTTGGCACAGAAGACAAACGACTGGTGTGCTTTATCGGACTAGACCAATATCGCTTAAAGCCATCCCTAAATCAGAGCGCCAAGCGCTGCGTTTTCCAACGCTAATGAGTGGCAGCCCGAGTTATACCTACCCAAATAAACCAGTAAAATGTTTACGGCTTTCTAATTTCCTTTTGTTTCCTCTTTCCTTTTTGCCTTCTACTCTTCTGCACCCAACTTCAAGACCATACGCAATGTCAAAAATTAAACTCCATTTGCTCTGCGCTAACGCCTCGTTTTTGTGGGATGCTTTATAAAAATTATATGAGCATGCGGATTTTTGACAGCTCTTTGGCGCTTTAAGCTTCAATTTAGGTATGACTGTTAGGTGATGACAGTGCCAATCAAGAAGAAGACCTATCCTTTCACTCACTCACTGAAAGAAAATCGCAATAACCGATTTCTGCAATAAGGACCGTTTTCACAGTGTCGAATTAACTATAGATTTTCAGTACAAAAATTTACTGTTAACTATCGAATCTGAGTTGTTAAGACGGACCTAAGTATTACGAAATTTTTGTACAATACGGAACGGAAAATTAAACGTTTTGCTCAAAAACCAACTTTCTATGTTAAATTAATAATAACACTATAGGGACGCTAAAATTACACAAAAAACGTCGAAACACGTAAACTCAATTTCTGGTCGTAGATTACGGATTTGTACATCATTTTTCTAGATCTGGTAATTTTCCCAAGATATTTTAATTTTAAGTTTGCACTGCGAATGAAAAAAAAATCAAACTTTTACATGGAAAATGTCACTCATGCGTAATGTGACCAACTACTTCATAGCTCAAAGACGTACAGGTTAGGTTGGGTTAGGTTAAAGTGGTTGCCCCAAGCAAGGGACCCATTTGGATAGTTTAGAAATTGTTCTTTGTGATACTACGAACAAACTGAACGAAGACCCTTAATTTAGTCGGCGAAACGCCGCGAGCCGATTACCAAATTTCGAAATTGTGTCTTGATGAACACAATATTGTAATTATAATTGTAATTGTAATTTTACTAATACGAAATCTTCAATTGCACTGCATCCACATTTAAATTATAATTTTTTAGACTCAATAAACGCGCTTTGGGTGGTTGCCAAAAAAAAAACAAGAATGCAACTTGATGACAACCAAAATTGTACTACAGAAATTATTCAAAACAAAAAATAAAACAGCTTTGATGTAAGTGTTTTTATTAGTTCACGCGCTTGAAGATGACTTCACCGCCTAACTCAATTATTATTATAACAAAATGTGCTATAATCGCGAGAGCACTGTAGTTAAAGCTTAACAAACAGCTTTTCTCGAACACCATTGCACGAATTTAATAATACACTAGGAGTGCCAGCTACTGTCGAAATTCAACCGTTTATCTAGTTTTCTATGACTCTTGGAAAGGTGTTCTAACTTAGCACGTCGTTGAACTTATAGGGTACAGAATAACTTATCGGAGAATCCCCCGCTTTGAGCTAAAACGTGACTACAATTTTTAACCTTTAAAGGGCTTTGTAGTACTTTCGCAGGACTTTGAATTGACTTAAAAATTTTTATATCTCCATATAAACCGATAACTCAATAAAATTTGGATACCATTATAAGTTTCGATAACTGGGTTTATTTCGATAACTCGTTACACTCTGGCAACACAATACAATTCGATAAGCAGTGATATGTCGATAAACTTATATAAGCTTGAAATTTCGATAACCCGATATATTTTGAAAATTCCAGACCCTAAGATTCGATAAATCGACTAATCTCATAGAGCTCATTGCATTACGATAACTGCATAAATTTCGTTACTTCTATAAATAATGATTATTCCATAAATATCGATAACTTGATAAATTTGATTAACTTGACAAGTTTTGATAATCCCATAAATTTTTATAGCTCGATAACTATCCGTAAATTTAGACAACTAATTTTCTGTGTCTATAAATTTCGACAACTCAATATACATTGCTCAATTTGAATGATTCGACACGTTGCGACAACTCAGT